CGCATTGGTAGTTTATTAAAACGCTTTGTGATAATCACGTGCCGTAATTGGAATAAATTTGTGCCTAGAAGCATGTTTACAGGTCGAAGTAATTGATTGCGTCATTGTAATGACTTCATCAGTCCTTCACTATGTAGAGTTGGTAGGCTGGTAAAATAATGTGATCGGATGCGTTTTCTTTTTAATAAACACTGAAATGTCTTTCTAAACTAAACTCTGTTCCGGTAACAATATTCTGCTTTTGGACATAATATCACAATTATATACATCGAATGGAAATCTCGTGATCGACTCTCTTGAAATAAAATTGTTAATCAGGTGGACTGCGACGACGACCCAGAGACAACTCGGGCGATGAGGAAGTAAGAGAAGTGAAGAAGACTTTATAAAGGGAAACGCCTAGGCCTACATGAGAAAATGAAAATAAAGCTGATATATGAAAAATATAACGTGACAACAAAGAATAGTTAATTCATGACAGAGCTTAAGGAGGAATTTTGTTTATGCGGTGATGAATTTATATGTCTCATTGCAAGATAGACAGTTCTAACATAATTACTGTAAGTTCAAACTCATAGATGTCCGACAAACAAGAATGCATCAGATAAGGATACAGACAATGAAGAAGTTTTTTTGTCAAAAGGTGAGTTCTTTGTGCAAGACGGTCTTTAGGCGCACTTACTGCTGGTTGTTTGATTCCGCCAGAGACGTCACTGCCTTCGCAGCAAAAAATTCTTTCTTTTTCCTCCGTGGCATCCCAACAATTACTCCATTCACACACAGAAGAAGGCAATGGCAAACCACTTCTGGATCATCTGCCAAGAACGTATATGAACAGGTCCCAATCCGTCACTGTTCAGTAACCTAGCTTCAGTTTTAGAGGTCCTGGGTTCATATCTCGATCCAGACGTGTTTTTTTCTGACGGGTGTGTCGTGGTTTTACCCACTCCTTACAAACAATTTCTCCGATATTTACTTATAATGATCATTCACCACATTGACTTTTAACGTTATAAAAAACTTCGTGGTGTACTTCGAAGTTTTCATATTTTATTTGTAGACTGAATACCGAATTTACTTTGTGGTACTAGTATTAGTAAGCCACGGTGGTCTAGCGGTTAGAACGCTTGCCTTGTAATCCTGGGGTCTCGGGTTCGAATTTATAACTTGTGTTGGGCAAGTCCGTGGTCTAGGCAACACGGAGTTTTGCTCCGTGGCATCCCACCAATTACTCCATTCACACACAGAAGCAGGCAATGGCAAACCACTTCTGGATCATCTGCCAAGAACGTATATGAACAGGTCCCAGTCCGAGAAAAGGATGGAAGGATCCTGTTCATATGGACCTGTCCTCAGACAGAACACTAATAATAATAAAAAATAAATGACCGATACGAGCAAAAATTAAATTCGCCGTAAAATTGTTAGACTTCTCAGTACCAAGTTTCGGAGAAAACCTTCAGTACTTTTCGGTATTCGCCACGCGCACACGCAAAGCCGACCTCCCTCTCCTGCGTTCATTAAACGCACTTTGCGCAAGGAACACACGTCTTAATAAATCGATCCCGACGATTTCTTCGCTGGCAGAGCAGATGACCATCGGCGTGCCGTCTCTGTCTTGCGACCACAGTGTGCACAGAATCCATCTTGTACACGGAAAAGGGACACATGTACTTTAACGGAGAACTTCATTTTCCGAACATTCTTAAAACGACCAGTTACTACACCAGGCTTACCTAATTTTGTTAATTACTGAAAGCGGCCTATTTTAAGGCAACTGTATGAAGGGACACACAACTACCGTCAGCGTTCTCAGCTTCGACCCTGGAGCAAGCGATCACCTTTAACCCCGTCTTGCGTAAATAAACAACGCAGTTCCATTTCATTTGTATCAATCAGAGCAAATCTTCCGCCTTTCCAGCCGTTCAACCTGTCGTCTGAAGTGTGCTTGCCGCTGTTGCTATGACAGCAATTATGTATCCTTAACGCCGGTCAGCTCTCACGACGTGACCACAAGAACGCGTCGACTTCTTCCGGCAGTTTTTAGGCTACTCAACGACCATGTTTTAGTTCTCTGCACTCACAACATAAGCGTCCAAACGCAGATACTGTTTAGAGGTTATTCTTATATTTGCATGCGAACGTAATGTCCCGAAATATGGAGAACGTTTGTTTTTACTGTCACCTGCTTCAACGAACAAATACGCTGCAAACCCTTCTGTTTAATCTGCGCACACAGACACAAATACAAATTGCTATACGCTACTTTATTCGGATTTCATTTGTTCATACAGGTTCATAAAAACTGGAGGCGGCATGTATTTCTGCGCAGCGATATTTTGTTTTGTTTTGTTCTGCCGTGTTGTTTTGGAGCAGCGTTGCACAAACAATCGGGGAAATTCACTCCGATCCTAATTGGTTGACCCATTGAAACTTTGACAATGTCTGCCAGACACCACAAACGCGCGCGAAAATTTAATTCGTTCGCTGGATCACAGAGAACTAGAAAGGACATTGCACTGGAGAGGCAAATTTCATTGACATCAGTAAAACCTCTGGAAGATTAACAGTTCCTCGTTCTCTTGTGGCCTACGCTTGAACGGGATTCGTTAACATCTGTTTATAAATTTACTAAAGGTACCCCGTATAAGTGGACGTGCCAAAGCTTAGCACGTAATCGAATCTCCGTGTAGCAATTTTTAAATTTATGAACGACTGTTAGTTGCAACGCCGTTGGACAGAGGGCAGCGGCGATGGGACGTCTTTGGAGCGGGCAGACACTTCCACGTCGAAGCACGAACTGAGGTGTGAGAGTTCGGGCAAGGTACACACTTTGACCTTACAGCGACACGTTTAAGTTCAGAACAGATCTGTTATGTTTGTAACAGCATCATCTCCGACCTACTGGGCTACTGCTCGAAACACAAAATAGTCTCTGATCGAGATGTATGTCCGTCCATGTCTTCTGGGAAGATCTGGGCGACTCATATCTGAACCGGATAAGAAAACCAACTCACTCTGAGATACACCACAACTCCACTTTCTTCAGAGTCGTGAGAAGTTTTCGGAGGCTGGGAGGGGACGACAACAGCAACCAATCAGAACAGAAATATGAAATTCTGAGCTATGGTCAATAACCGAAAATCATTCGCCCATTTGTATTCAATAAACGTGCAGTAGCAAGAGGTTAAAGCCAGTCTTCAACTGCACTTCCTTTCAATGATAAGTCATGAAACCGTCTTATAAACTATGTCGCACAAGCTAATAGTAGCTCACTTAGTCAAGACATTTCCTGCCCCCGGCCGCTAGTCCACACTTACTACTTACTTCAGCAATGGTCGTAAATTTACTTACGATGACAAATTACAAACTCGTAGACATATTTTATGAAACAATTTGTGTATTCATACAGTAATGTAAAATCATAGGAAATATCAGGAAACTTCATATCTGAGCCAGTTTTTTCTATCGGTTGATTACTTCATTTAAGGAAAATATTTTCTGCTCCTAAGCACAGGTTTTCTCGTGCGCCTCCCCTCCCCCTACGAACAGCTACCTCGAATGTCGTAAGGACACAGAGTTACAAAACTTAGACGCGTCAAGAATTGAAGCAGACAGAAGATGTCGTTTAGCGCTGATCACAGATCGAAGAAAATGTTACGTCACTCAGTTTAAATTTCTAAACACAAACTGCCAAGGTTTTCTCACGCGGAAACATTTGACTGTGCGAGGAAAATATTTTAACAACCAACCTGAATAAATAATATTCCTCTAGCATGCAAAGAATCAATTCTCTACTTTCGATAAGTGAGTGTTCCTCGGTACCTCACAAATCCATGAAAATTAATGAGCACATATTCAGACGAAAGGGCAAAGAAGTGACTTATCTATCACTTACCTTAATGACGCAGATGCTGAACCAGGAGGTCTTCCTCGTCACAGCAGCAGCAATTTCAGGAGTTCATCAGACATCAAAACTTCAGAAAAATCAGCTTCACTTCCAGTCACAACAGAGACACTTAATAACGAAACACTTTTCTTTTTTAAACAATTAAAAATTATTGAAATTGTTATTGTAACGAAGCGAGAAGCCCTAACCCTGCGTACAGCGCCACGACCGAATATAGAAACACAACGAAAACAAAACACGCACTCAATTGACAGTCGCGACACAAACCGCGCGGTGCAAACAGAAACATGGCGGTTTCACACGCACATTACAACTTTCTCTCCTTCTTCACCTCGCAATAAACATAAGAGCGCAAACGCCCTCTAAATAGGAAGCCGTGGGCAAGTTTTATCTTCCTTAACCAATATTTGTTTCCGAGATTTGGTTACTTGTGCGATAATCTTCCAACGTTCCCAGGCTATAAACACAGCAGGCCTTGTCTTCTCTGCACTTTATCCTGGGATGATGATTTTTATACTTTTTACTGGATCTACGTAGTTTTAATGACCACTTTATGGGCGCTGGACGAGGTTTTCCATTTGTTCAAAGTGGCAAAACACAATTATATTTCATGACGACTGCTACTTGCAAACGAAACACTTGTTCTCGCAGTGGTAAGTAGTGTTTAATTAATTGGTTCCTGTAGTAGTCTTTTCAACAAACATGTTATTTGACTCAAAGGCGAGAGGTAATTGTGCTAAACGGTTTCTACTTGTTTGTTATGCTATTCACCTTGCTGGCAGATAATCGTAGGACCGCAAATTTATATTCTCGACCTGGAGCAAGGCCTAAAATCCGTACCGATATGTTTGATTACAGAGCTCCATCACACACAAATGAAGTCGTAAGAGAGGAGCGTCCACTCAGGTCTACAGCCGCCGCCCTGACACGCGCCAAGACAGTCTAAAGTTCTCTCGAAACCACGCACTATTATTTCTTCACCGCCACAATGGTGTATTCGTGCACCCCGTCGCTGCTACAGTTCTGAGTCTTTGGTTCAGCCTCCCTTCATCACTGTCAAAAGAAAAGAAAATTAATATTAAAACTTCACATGACACGGAATAACAAAGTCGATATATCGATTTAGATTAAATATATAAACATGTATACGTCTTAAAGTTGCCTTCAAACAGAATCAGAGGAAATTCGACTACGACAACTTAAATGTTTCACACAAGACAAACAGCGAAGTGTAAACAACGCTAAATTCTGTTTTATTAACTGTCTATACCTGAAGAAAGAATGGAAGTTTGCAGACAGACTCTGGCTTATTGTATTAAAAAGAGAGCAGAGTTCGGAGCAGGATCCATATAGCTTTTTCTCTCTCGCAGTCACACACGTTTACAGGCTTTCTGCTAATAATATTCCTTCTTCGCAAATTAAGTTTACGTCCTGCAATCCAACAGCAAAATACAATTTACCTCTTAGGGTCGAACCACGACTACAGACTGTAGATTTTATAGCTTGCAGTTTCAAATGTCATACGCAGATTAATTATAATTATTTCGGGAACTTTATTTCTGTAGAACAGACTCTGACTAGGTCGGAACGATAAAATACAACCTCAAAGGCCTGTTTGCAAACCTTGATTTAACCTTATCAATACCACGTTATATCACTCATTTCTGGGATAATTTAGGAAATATATGAAAACATTAGCCCGTCTCACACACAACAAAATAGTTTTATATGCGTAAATATTAACAGGTTTACCATACAACATAAATACAAAATAAAAATAATATTTATTTCTTACGAGTAACATCATCAGATTCGTTTACAGTACACGGTTAAAAGACAAGCTGCTTTTCATACAGACTAATGTAAACAATATCTTGAGAAGACTTTTCGTGATCAGAGGTACAGTCACTGCTTGTAATTCCAAGTCCAACGCGATTAAAATCGCTACATATACAATTACAGTATTAAAATATAAGATGAAACAACGATTGGATCCAACTGACAGTCAGTACTTATCGCGAGCATTCTCAACAGCGAAAAGCGTCCACACTACGCCTCAACACACAAGTGCGTCATCATATTCGCCGCCACTCACGGGCGTCTCCGAAACAGACTTAAATCTGCACCGAATGCAAGAACACGAAACAGCAAAAATAATTATATCATCACGAATCTTCGAAACGTAAAGGATCGATAATCAGTTGACTGACAGCCCCCAGCCCCGTCCCTTAAGCACATACACGTATTTGTAATATGTGCATTACCACAACACATGTTTATCGCGGAGGATACACCTCGTTGCCCGGTGGTACACGACTTCCGTACGAAGTGAACACACTGAACACGAAATGGGAACATCGCCTCTACCCAAATGTTTCATTTCCCACGGCATTTACGACCAGTCTGCGCGTGGTGTGGGGTAAGCACTTAAAGTTGGGGAGGAAATTACATTATGGTCCATATCGGGCAATTGTAACCCTCAATTTGCCTCGAAGCTCGACCATCAGATTTCTAGACAATTGGCAATGACACAGAACACTCTCCTTGACATCCACGAGCTTTAGGTACAGAAACAATAAGGATGAAAATAATTAATGACAAATACTGAGCAGTGGCACGAGCGGGCCTGTACATTTCCAACCGAGTAACTACTTTATTAACCGCAATACACTCTCCACCGATCAATAAATTCCACGGACAGAGAAGAAGCTATTGGTCAGTTGGTGAACATATTTCTCGCCTTTAATCACACCCGAAGAATCACTGGTGTGTTCACAAAAGCACGCAGACTGTCGCTAAGCCGAGGCGGATGAAGGCCAGAGCATCAGTGCGGTTAGAATCTTCCCGTCTGTACCCAGTAGCAAGTGTCTTGCCTCCTGGTTTTCCGACCAGATAATACACGCTTTCATCGTCGCCCCCATGCGTGCTGCATTACCTGACCATCGCACCTTCCTTCATTTCATCGTCTCAATAATACGTCTAGTTTGAAAACACAACTTTATCTAAAGTAATGAAAATGACGACAAATTAATGAAGAAAATTTTCATTTTTCTTTAGAATCCGTGAAAGAAACTTGGTGATTCACAAAGTAATTGTTTAAAATAAAACGTATAGATGCAGGCCTAATTAGGAACATGTAGTATTAGACACCTATGATAAACGTTTCACAACGCCAATGGCGTTTTAATTCCATTAGAGCGAAAGTAACAAGTATTCTTTCGATAACCCCAGGAAGATGACACGTATTCTGTCTACTACCTGCTGATTCTTTGTTACACTTACATGTATATTTATGTCATATTTATGCTTTATTCTATTAACTGTTACACTTACGCTCTAATGTCATATTTATGCTTTATTCTATTAACGCTACTCTTGTGGTCAATCACTGCCCTCGAAACTGGTCCCTATTTTATTTATATTAATTTTCTGGAATTCCGCTAAACTTCACAGCCCTTAACCACATTTTAAATTGCGAAGTTTATGAAGTTTAATGAGGTCATTTTCATGTAGACAGCTACATTTTGGAAAAGAAATCAAACTTCGCCTCTTGGCTGTCTCTCAGCTGTAAGAGGGCCCAAACCACCTGACCCACGTCAAGAGAACTCGATAATGCAACCAACATTCCTCTCTCTAAGGACATTTGTATTTTGAGTTCAATTATCATAACAGCGAAGCCACTTTAGTTAAACATAGAAATTAATATTTCAGCACTAAAGATGGTCCCCGAAACGTTGGACAACCGACAACACTTACTGCCCCAGAATATTTCATTGAATAAAATTGTTTGTTATCTTTACCCCACGTTTTAGAACTGAGTAATGAAATTATTTAATACATAAGATTTTCTGTGTGGTGCACGGAAAGTTACTCGCACGGCATTTCAGAAAACTCACAAAGGGAATTAAGAGCGGCCCAATTTAGCTTTAACTTTCACCACATTCTGTAAGAGAAACTTAGACAAAATTCAGTTTCTTCTTAGCAACACGGGCAAGCTAATGTTTAATGCAGAGCGTTCAAAAAATATTAAACACGCAAAAGGAAACAATATCGCGATATATTACA